TCCATTGGTTATTTCTTAATAACACACACACACACAGAAACACACACAACGCAGTGTGTGTCCTGTCACTCTGTTAGGCTGTGAGGTCCAGACAGATTGGATGTTCTGGCAAGTCGCTGTGTCTGAAAGCCAGCACCAGGCAGATATGTCTTTCTATGGTGGGTGTGTGTGTGTGTGTGTGTGTGTGTGTGTGTGTGTGTGTGTGTGTGTGTGTGTGTGTGTGTGTGTGTGTGTGTGTGTGTGTGTGTGTGTGTGTGTGTGTGTGTGTGTGTGTGTGTGTGTGTGTGTGTGTGTGTGTGTGTGGGGGGGGGGGTCTATCTGTCTGCTTGGTTTCCATGTGTGTGAATGTTGACTGCACCCAATTGATCTCATCCACAGGAGTCCAAGAGAGGAGACAGGAAAACAGAGGGGATGAGAGTGAAGAGCACACATCACATAAAGCTAGAGCATTACGCCCTGTTTGTTTCCTTTTCCAACCTGTTGGTTTATGTGACTGTTTAACAGAATACTTTGTAAAAACAGACACGTACAGTCAATGCAATTATCTGACGGCCAATGAGCCAACATCGAGCAATGGGTATCACTGCTAAATAAATACCCTTGTCTTAAACCTTTAACTTTTTATCTAACAGATAAAAAGGTCATGAGACTCTTAATCTAAGGGTGATGGGTTCAAGCCCAACTTTGACTGTAGCAGTTATCCTACCCCTAAGTAAGTATGTCAGATATATCATGCCTTCTCTTTAGGGATCAAATAATAATGTATTCACGTTCCATCCCCCAGCTCCTGCTTTTGTTCACAGATGAATTTGTAACTTATGTATACACCAAAATACTTTGGAGATGTACTTTTACGTTCAAAAGCATGAGCATTTTTTATTGCAAAATAGCCCAGTTAGCTCAGAAGGTAGAACATGAGACTCTCTATCTAAGTGTTGTTGGTTCGAGTCCCACATTACATGTACAAATTAATGTATCATTTGAAGCTACTTTTTTGCAATATCGGTTCAGTCTCATAAATCAACTTAAAGGGGACCTATCATGCAAAATGCACTTTTGTACGTCTTTTATACATGAATATGTGTCCCCGGTGTGTCAGGGAACTCACCAAGTGTCAGAAAACACAACCCTCTCTATTTTCCTCCATACCCAAATCTCTAAAAACGGGGCTGCAACGGAGCTGATACAGATTTGAATTGTTCTGACGTCAGAAAAGGGGTGCTCCGCCTATGCGCAACTCTCCACCTATCAGGGGAATGGGGGGTTGGGCCACGGCCACGGCCATTGCCGCTCGAAAGCGCTGGAGACGCTGTAGTACATATGCCAGGCCTGTAAGTGGTGCTGTAGTCTGCCACAAAAGCAGCGAAGAAGACTTCCCGCGCATGGTTGCCATGGTTGCCCTTCTGTTTATTCTCCGCTGTGGACGCTCTGGCTCTTTTTCTCCCTCCCCGAGGCAAGCGTTTGCTCCTGCTGCTGTAATTCAATGCAATCCCTCCCTCGCTGTAATTCTCTCCGGTTAGTCCACCAGCAGATGACAAACACCCAACTCTCCGCCTCTTCCAAGGAACGAGGGGACCGTGCGGCAGAGTTTCAGTTAGATTTTTTTTTTGCCGGTCAACATGTCCGTTAAAGTTTAAATCTTCCAGACAAAATGAGAAAAGTGCCGGTCAAAGGTCTTCTTTGTTATTTATTGAGCTTTAAAACAAATGAATAACGACTCTATATAATCATATAAGAATAAAACACGGAGGACGGAGATCTCTTTTTCTCCCCCTCTTCTGAGAGCCCAGCAGCTGATCAGAGCACGCTCCCCTCTCCTGCAGGGGGGCGTGGTCAGCTGCAGCTCATTTGCATTAAAGCTACGTCACAGAATCAGCCCTTGCAAAAAAATGGCTGGAAAAGAGCAAATAGAGCGAAATGAGGCATGGCTAAAATGCATGATCTGTTTGGTATTTTGAAAAAAAAACTTCACAGACATGTTTTATATAGGTATGGCCCAACAATATATTTTTCAAATAGAGTGGCGAAGTCCCTCCCCTTCCGGTGGACCTCCATGGGACCTTATTTCGGAAAAATTATGTATTGAAGTCAATGGAGAGAGAAAGATTATCTTTCGATCCCGTTTGAATTGTGCCACGAATTACACATATGATGTTTGTCAATTTAAAAGATAATTTTGCAAGTCAAAAAAAAAAAAATGTGTCGTAAAACTGTGAAGTAACACATTTGTTTGTGTGAAACGCTCAATGAACTACATCTCTGGTCAACAACACACGTCACCAAGATGGCCGTCACTACTGTCTTGTCAACAAAACGATTGACTACCCTCACTATCACCACAATGAAACACGTCCTGAAGAATGTCATGCAAAGCTGCCTGCCTGCCTTCCTTTGATTCTCTCTGAACTGCCTGGTCGTTTTAATGTTTAATGTCAACCATTTGTGCAGATAGCATGAAGTAGAGAAGATCGCCGATGCTAACGTTAGCGTTAGCATTTCTCCCCCGGGCTTAAATGGTGTATTATAGAATGATCACACCGGTGACAGTACTATTCAAAGGGTTCAGGAAATATGACTACTACTCTTACTGTTTAACATTTTGGGTTACTTAATGTTACTTCATGTTAAGGCTAATAAAAATGACAAGGCTGTAATGCTAACTAACGTGCTAGCTACTAGCTAGGTAGCTAACTTGATCAAGCCACTCCTGGTCCTTTCATCAGACGGGAAGCAAAAGAACGAGCAAGACCCATTGCTGGTATAATAACAACCTGGTACTAAGCACACAGGCATCTTGTTAAAGTTATCTTATCTTAGCCAGCGCCATATAGATAGATTATATCTATATTGCGCTGATCTTAGGTATCTGAATGGTGGAGGAAAACAATTGTAACATCACTTACGCGACTCTGGGATTTGTAGTCTTTCTAGTTACGTATTTTTCATAGTCTTATATTTCAACAGTTTTACGACAAACTGTGACTTTTTTGACATGGAAATTATTTTTTAAGATTGACAAACATCATATGTGTAATTCATGGCACAATTCAAACGGGATCGAAGAAGTTTTCTCTCCCCATTGACTTCAATGCATAATTTTTCCGAAATAAGGTCCCATTACCCGGAAGTAGGTGGGCGTGACTTCGCCACTCTATATAGCATGATAGGTCCACTTTAACTCTTCAAAGTAGTCCACAGTATCTTAAAAGTATATATACATATTATTTGAAAATACATTCATGTGATCAGAGCCGTGACATTTAGGTGGCTTTAATCTGTTGAACCATAAGTGTTAGCTTGTTTTGGGTTCCATTTTGGTACTGTGATAAAAGCATTTATCTTTCATCCAAATCATTTATCATCTCTGGTCCTATGTGTTGTCTGCCTTAATTAAAAGCAGGTCCCATTCACCTGAGGCTGATTCATTAGCGTCTCTCCATTTTCCAGGGCTTTTCATCAAACCTGTCATTTTCTGTCATCAAGTCTACACTTTCATTTCCTCATCTTTCTTTATCTGTAAGCAACCACTCTTTTCTTTAGCTCAGTCTTTCACGGTTATGCCAAACTCTGTTGCCTCTCCTCTTAACTTTTTCACAGAGTATCTTTTATCTTTCCCACCTTCAGCTCACAAGACTCCTGGGAACATTTATCTCTGAAAGAAGCTGATTGGCTGATTGATTGAACACTTACTTCAGATCAAGGTCTGTAAATAAAAAAGAATGAGGAAATTCATGGTGACTTGTGGTCGTCATAAAAACGTTACAAAACACAACTTTGTATTTTTAATAAGTGTATTAGTGAGTTGTTAATGATTTTTTCTTTTGCCTTTCTTATAACTTTGTTTCTGATCTTGACCAAAGGGGGAACAAACGCTAAAACAACAGGTGTAGCTGTAGCTTCATATGTCACAAAACAAGTGTTTATCATCTCATCTCATCTCAAGTGAGCAAATACATATTTCCAGAAATGTCAAACTATTCCTTTAAGGTAGTATTACTGTCATATTTGATTTTCCACAAGTTTGGAGATTTAAAGAAGCTATATCTTTGACAAAAGGTTGCTTTTTCACTTTTAAGGCCGCAGTTCAGTTAAAGCAAGCATTTCAACTTTGCTGTCTCCACATTTTCAGGGCATATCTATTCAGGCCCTCTGACCATGAGAAAGACTGGACTAAGATAAGAAGCCCTGAAGAGCACTTCCAAAGGATTTTAAGCATGTAGGACACATGATTTGACAACAAATAAGTTCCCAATAAAAAAACTAAGGAATTAAACACAACTGAGGATTGAAAAAAGCACTATATAGCACTTAACTGTCCTGCAAGATTTACAAAAACATGTTTAGACTGGCTGGTATTTAGAAAAGAAGGCAGGTAGAAAATGAGAGAAGAAGATAAACATAATAGAAAAAGCAGGGGGCTTCCCTGTGGTGTATCACTCTGAACATAACAAACATGACAGGGTTGTCAACGGCAACAATATTGTCGTAGGTAACAGAGTTGCCGGGCGGTGGCGTGGAGATGGACAGAGCAGTGCAGAGTGAATTGGAGATAACAGGGAGTGTGACAACTGAATTACAGCTGACGGCCCTGAGATGAGCTCTCAGCGACAGAAAACAAGACAGGCGAGGAGATAGAGACACTAAGGGCAAACCTGAGAGGAAAGTAAAGGGTAAAGGTAAAACTCAGGAAATAAGGAGAGAGATAGAGAGGTAGAAAGAAGTGAGAAATGGGAATACTGCACAAGCAGAGATGGGAGACATTTTAACGATGAAAGGAAGAGACTGACATCAAGATACTCCTGAGCCAAAGACAAACAAAAAGAGCATGTAGAGAAAAGTAAGAGATGAGATGTGAAAATGATATACAAATAAGAGAGTGCAAAAGTCAAAGCAGGAAATGAATAGAGAAAGGGAATATCTCTGCTTTGTGACAGCTCATTGACGCCTTCACACACACTTTGTCTTTGGTGTTATTTCAAAGAAACAATAGAAACACTTACATGTGGCATTTGTCAGCCTGAAGGTGACTGACTTGTCTTCGATGCTACACACATTGCGTACTGACACCTGGCACGTGTAATCGGCAAAGTCCTTGGGTCTGAGGTTTTTCAGCTTAAGCACCTTGGTCTCACCCTAGATGGGATTAAACACGCACACATCAGCATTCAAAAGTATACAAAAATATACACAGTCTTTTATGAGTATAAACATTAATCTAGAGATAAATCTATGACCACATTTCCATTACATAAACCATTCCATTACAGCAATGAGAAAACTGGGTTGTAATCTTGCATAAACTTCAATTTTTGATGAGCCGTAGTGTGATAAACAGGGTCATAGACTCACTGAGTTGAACGCACGAATGAACACACACAAACACACATCCTACTGTGTTTGCATGTCTCACATGGCCTGATTATCAACTGAAGCATCTCAAATAGACATATAGAGTAATATGAATGATGAATTTAAATGGCTTCACATGAAACCATTAGGAAAATGAAAGTGAACTGATTTTTGATGCAAAAAAGAAGGCTAAATCCATCCATCCTCTCCCTCAATATTCATAAAACGCATGTCTCTCGGCACTCCAGCTGCTTTTTTTGTGCCTCTCATGTAGATATACTGACACACAGGACACACAGCAGTCACGTATCGCTTTCAACATCACTGCTGATTTTTCAGATCAAGACTTTGTGTCTGATAGTGTCTAACTGTGAGTCTGCTACAGTAAATGATGGGCCAACAGTTTCTCAGGAAGCCCGGGGAAGAGCTCTGATGGCTGGCTAATTGAACTCGAGGGGCACTGCTTTGTGGCTGACTGTTGCTTTGATAAGTGGAGAAAAAGAGAACAGTCGTGCTAACGATTGATACAGATTGATGCTTTTTGTATTTTCAAACAGTACACTTCCCTTTCAACGTCACAAGAAAAAAAGGTCTTTATGATGAGGACTATGATCTGTATAGTGAACGTGGCATAATGTCTGACGGAGAGTTTGGAACGGATTTGATAAACCTCCCCAATCAAATAAAGAGCAGAGCAAAGCTGATAATGTTAACCTGACTGTGATAATGCATAATGATTCAGGACAAGCTTCATCCTATAGAGGTGAAACACAACACAGACAGTGTGTGGGAAATACAAAAAATACAAAAAATGGTGGCAAACATTTTCACCACCGTCTAAAGAATAAGCTATTTACAATATTGCTGGGGTCTTAAAAATAAAAGTAATTTGTGCATTCAGTAGATTGGTTTACTGTGAGTCCAGATGGAAATTAATACAATAATCCCGACCTAAACAAAATGTATTTATTTTTTTAATCTTGGGGGCAAGAGTGTGACCCTTAATCACATTTTCTGGGGGCATTCTGAGAGTTTTTGTCCCTTCATCCCCCTTAATTACGAAACTGAAACACCAAATGTATGATGCTAAACAGGGATCTTTCTAACCTGGCCCCTCAAAAAAATAAAAGGAAGAGAGAGATTTATTGAGGCAAGGGTAAAACTTGGAAAAGCACATCAGCCAGTAGGTAAAGATTTGAGGGGGATTTCTCAAAGAGGAGAGTATACAGTTGGAAGTGACAGTAACCCTGGCTGTGTGTGAGCCCTGTGTATGCGTGCATGTTTACCTGAGTGTAAAGTGGTTCATAGATGTCTACTCCATTGTCCTTGCTCTGTTCAATGAGCATGTTCCCACGTTTCCAGATAAAACGTGCGGGAGGGTTGGAGTTGACGGTGCAGCGCAGGAACACAGTCTTCTCCTGGTAGTAACTGCCCCGCACATCGCTGATGGTCTGGTGCACCGTGAGAACAGGTATGTCAAGGTCTGCAAAATACAGACAACAGATAAAAAACATGAAGACCTGTGTATTGCTGTAGTGGGAGAATATTGGTTATCACACCCCTGAAACTTGTACATTACGGCCTTATTGTGCCACACAAAGAAATAAACAGCAAGGACACCACAGAGTACCATTTTACAACAACACACATTTTTATGCATGAATAAAATAACCTTCAGTTTGTATGATGTTGTCGACTTTTCTGTGAAAAACATTGGCAATGTGTGGCAGGGTTTTGATTTGGTAACTGGGACACAACTGTAGAAAAGGGTAAACAAGTGCTGTTTGTTGGCTGAATTTCCCACCCACACTGACCAAAACTGTCCAAACAGTTGCCTATTGAACATGGCTTCTAACGAGGACACATGTCCAAACAATCTGTGCGTTTTGCACATTCCCCACTCTGGCTGTGACTTTCTCACACATTATTTTTATATATTTCTTCTGTCACTTTTATCTATTTCCCCCCACTTGCCTCCTTTCCCTGCGCATTTCCTTCATGGGAGTGTCATCTCCCTTTTCCTCCAGTGGATAGGATTTCAGCTGCTGTCACAGGCATGGAGGCTGCTCTCCCTTGGTTTCTGCCATCTCTCTAAAACTCACTGCCACTTTCACTCCTCATCACCTTCCCTCCCTCTCTATCCCCTCCTCCTCGCCCCTTGCCTCTATCTCTTACAGGCCAGAGTTGTGTGTGTATGTAATCCCAATTCTGTGCAGCCCAATTGGAATGTTGCGGACTTCAAACATCATGGAAATAATTTCTGCAAACAGCAGGGTAGATTCCCCCCCCCCTCTTTTTTCCTGCCTTTCTATGTCACCTCTCTCCTTTCCTTTTTTTTCTTCTCAGTTCTTCACCTCCTTTCCCCTGTGGCAAACCTGCTGCACCATATCAGGAAAGGCATGTTGCAAGCTATAGAAAACAGGTGAGCAGGGAGGGCAGGTGCTTTGTTCCTTAATTCAGTTGTGAGCAAAGCAGGGACCTAAAGTATGTGATTAAGGAAAGAGGGATTGTATTTTTTTAAATCCTTAGTTCAGACGTTTTAAAGAAAACAATGTGTGGATAAGCATGCTTGATTTTTGAGTGCCACAGCTGTCACACGAGGGCTGTGTCACATAGACAAGCAAATGCATGCACACACACACACACACACACACACACACACACACACACACACACACACACACACACACACACACACACACACACACACACACACACACACACACACACACACACACACACACACACACACACACACACACACACACACACACACACACACACACACACACACACACACACTCAAATCCGGACCTCAATCTGAATGTGTGCAGCCTCAGAACAGCATCACGGCTCTTTTCTAGTTTGAAGGTTAGAGCTCCGGGAAAAGAGTGGCACATAAACAAACAGAGGCAACTTGAACTTGTATAGGTGATTTGTGTGACTCCAAAAAACAAAACAAAAAACGGGCATGGCACAGCTTTCCTTTTTGGAATGGAAGGTGAGTCACAAGGACATAGGAACATTAACCCATTCCTCGGATGTCACATAACCATTTTTCATGCTTTGACGTCACAATGTGCAGAAACGGGCGAGTCAGAATGGGACACTGAAGATATCATGTGAATACTTGTGACTGAAGGTGTTTCATCAAATCATCTTCACAAAGATGAACCACAGAAAATCCAAGCTGCAGAATTTGCTGAAAGGCTTTAACACTGTGCTATTTATTCTATGCATTGGAGTACTCTGAGTGTATTTGTTAGGATACCTGTGCTAAAAAACTGTCTCTCGTCAGTGCTGCTGTATGTTATTTTGGATATATATTGAATGTGTAGTCTTGGAAAATGATACACATTTACATACATTTGTGAATTTGTAGGTTTTGGGTTTTCAAAAAAAAGTTTTTCAGATATCAACATATCCTCTCAAAGATTGCACAAAGTGCATGTCATAAAACATGTTATTTAGTATTCCAGCATTTAAATAAAATAAAATGTGAACTTCTTATACTGTGCTGAGTTGCTTACTCGCATTTGCAGTGAAGGACTTTTGAGTCTCTGTTATTCTTGCTCTCAGTGATTCAGTCCTGTGCTCTGGGAAGTGTCTCACTGTGGACAGCCTCATTTATAAAACGACTACCCACAGATTGGGACAAAAGGCCCGGCAGGAAACTAGACACTGACTTACAACCAGCCTCTCTAAAAGCCTCTGCCATTAACAGGCAACCTATCAAAGAGATCTGCCTCTTGGTTCTGTGAGGGGTCTCTGTGTGAAGTACCTTTGTAAACTACAATTTGTGAACATTTGCGTACATATGCGTGTGTGTGTGTGTGTGTGTGTGTGTGTGTGTGTGTGTGTGTGTGTGTGTGTGTGTGTGTGTGTGTGTGTGTGTGTGTGTGTGTGTGTGTGTGTGTGTGTGTGTGTGTATTTGTCAGTACTGTCTCTCTATTATTTTTACAGATAATTTGCAGTGCAGGGGGAATCCTAACTGAAAAAGCTTCCTGGAAGTGGGTTTTCATGTATGTCTGTGTGTGTGTGTGTGTGTGTGTGTGTGTGTGTGTGTGTGTGTGTGTGTGTGTGTGTATTTGTCAGTACTGTCTCTGTATTATTTTTACAGATAATTTGCAGTGCAGGGGGAATCCTAACTGAAAAAGCTTCCTGGAAGTGGGTTTTCATGTATGTCTGTGTGTGTGTGTGTGTGTGTGTGTGTGTGTGTGTGTGTGTGTGTGTGTGTGTGTGTGTGTGTGTGTGTGTGTGTGTGTGTGTGTGTGTGTGTGTGTGTGTGTGTGTGTGTGTGTGTGTGTGTGTGTATTTGTCAGTACTGTCTCTCTATTATTTTTACAGATAATTTGCAGTGCAGGGGGAATCCTAACTGAAAAAGCTTCCTGGAAGTGGGTTTTCATGTATGTCTGTGTGTGTGTGTGTGTGTGTGTGTGTGTGTGTGTGTGTGTGTGTGTGTGTGTGTGTGTGTGTGTATTTGTCAGTACTGTCTCTGTATTATTTTTACAGATAATTTGCAGTGCAGGGGGAATCCTAACTGAAAAAGCTTCCTGGAAGTGGGTTTTCATGTATGTCTGTGTGTGTGTGTGTGTGTGTGTGTGTGTGTGTGTGTGTGTGTGTGTGTGTGTGTGTGTGTGTGTGTGTGTGTGTGTGTGTGTGTGTGTGTGTGTGTGTGTTTATGTTTGTGTGTGTGTGTGTGTGTGTGTGTGTGTGTGAGAGAGAGAGAGAGAGTGACTATCTGCTGTCATCCTGTCGTAACACTATGTGGAGAAAGTAGATGACAGATTGACACACAGAGAGACAGATAAAGACAGAATATATCCTAAAGCACTTCACATAACTCTAAACGGACAAGCACTGTAGTCACAAAGAGTTCCACATTGTTAATATCTAATACCTTATTAATAACATCTTTCAATTGCTCTTCAAATAGTTAAAGCAAAGGTATTTTTGTGCTTTAAAAAAGGATCTAAGCTTGTATAAAATAACATCCCTATGGAATTAAAAAATATATGTGCCTTGCTGCCCCCATATTTAATGTCATGGATAAAACGATGACAGTCTATGTTCTAGAGACTTTTTTCCCTCACAACAATTGTGTTATTAAAGCTTTTACAATCCAAGCTCCCAGGGCGAGTCTAACTTTACTCAGTTTTGGCCCTTAAGTAAATAGAGACACAAGATGAAACTGCAAGTGCACAGAAACATAGTATAAAACTTTAATGAAGCTTTTGATTTCCCCAATGTCCTGCCTTTGCACACAGCTTAGATCAATTGCACTGTGCTGCTTTTGTTAGTCACAACTTTTAATGCACGTCTAAGCTCCCAAATTTCAGAGTGTCTGCCATTGTTTCACGCCTCGCTGCTGACACAAAGACATTTCAATTCTCCCTGACAGCGTGGTCCTTAGCTGTGGATAAAGCACACCATGAAATATGTTCTATATGTGATTACTATCTGATAAATGGAGACACCTACCCGCTCAGTCAAATGATAGCTACCAACAGGGGCGGATTGGGACTAAAAATCAGCCCGGGAAACTCGACCGGCCGACCGAACCAACTCGGTACCGCTAGTCAATTGTCAACGGGGGGGCTAGTGAATTGTCCGACCGGCCCACTTCGGTACCGGCCCACCGGGAAAACTCCCGGTATTCCCAATGGCCAGTCCGCCCCTGGCTACCAAGAATATATCATCATTTGAGCATTTTTGAATTATTTGTCTTAGATTTTTTGGCAAGAAGTGAGATCTATCATCACACAAGAAAAGACCCTTGTTTACAAGGTCAAAGCTATAGAGTTTACCATACAGTAGTAACATAAACTGCGTTACAACATATTCATCGGACGGAATAAAAGATATCAGCTGAACAATGGAAACCTGTCATGTCTATGCACATTTATCTGGTGTCATTTTAGCTTTTTAAATTAGAAATATTGGCAAACTACTCTGTTAAAATTACGCTGCATGAATCAATTTGACTTTTTGGTAAAGCAAGTAAGAAAAAAGGGCCCATCTTTAGCACGCTGTCTTATCTGGTTGACACAAATTAATTGAAGAAGGGCAATTCAACACTGTGTTTCATTCCTGATCAGCCATCCAGATCCTGTTAGACCAGCTGCCTGTTAATGAAATCCTTTTATCATTAAACACTGTCAAGTATTTTACTCCTATTTGCTCAGAATATTCTCAAGTCCCTCTTCATATCAAGTATCTTTTAGTTATATAATATTAAACCAACGCAGGAAACGTCCTTATAAAGCAGCATAGAACAGGTTTAAAGTATCCCCTAAAAAGTTGAACGGAGTGCAATTTTGGTCAGGTATTCCAGTTATTTTTGCACTTCAAATTTTTTTGTGTTGTGTCTTTTCAAAGCACATTAACTAACGGATAGAGGCACTCGTACAGACGATTTGTTCGCTTGTTATCTGAGGAAACAGATGATCAGATTCGATTTTGATCAGACTCTGGACATCTAGT